GACTTGTAGGGATTTGGTAGTTTTCTTTATGGGATTGCTATGCATATATAATGCAGTTAGCTTATAGTATCTTCTTGATAAACAAATAATTCCATAAAGTAAGTCCACAGAATGCTGGAGGATAGGCACACTTTAATAAATATGATGTAGAACAATGGATTTTTAGGGTTGAACAGCAGGTGAGAAATCATGGAAGTGGTTGTTGGGAATATAATGCTGTATTTGGAACAGCAGGGTATGAAGGAGAGGTAGATTGCTGTGATGTGGCTTCTCTGGTGAAGTACATCACTCCATGTTCTATTGCAGTGTCAGGAGCAGCACTGCTCCATGGAATTGTGCTAGGCTTCCACAGAGGGTATTAAATGGCCAGCTCCAGTCATCCACTACTTCTTGCTGCCACTTCTGGCCATAGCTTGAAGTACTTGTCTCTGTCCTGTTCTTGGTTTTGCTGTAATAATCAGAGAGTTTTAGTGATATTTGTCTTCTCTTCTGAAAAAAAAAAAAATCCCAAAACCCAACAAACCGCCACGAAATAGTGAAATTGTCCATTGTAAATGGTGTCTTGTAACTCCTGGAAAATGAGTCTGATCTGACCCTCGGGGCAACTTGTCCTCTGGTACTGCAAGATCACTGCTGCTGGCCCTTGGCAGCAGACCCACTCTCTTAAATTTCTCTTGATTTGACAGGTTCAAGTGCCGAGTTTGGAATGGTGCAAGTGCCATTAAATTAAATTAACTGAAGTAAAGCTCATCATTGCTTTACAGATGGAGCCTGGGCTGACAGCTGCCAGGGCTGTGAGGAAAGAGGGCAGTTCTTTCCCTGCCATGAGTGTAGGTCTTTGAGACACCAGTGTGGGTTCTGTGCCCCCTCTGACTTTTTTTCAAAGCCAAAAGTATGTCAGTTCTCAGTTTTTGCACATTTTCAGGGTAGCAAGTTAATTCCTGTGCCTTGTTCAAGAACAGAAGGCACAGAAACTGGGCTTAGTTCCAGGGAATGCCCGAGTCCCCTATCCCATGCACAGATATGTGCACTCATTCCCCTTCTGAAGAGCTGCCTGTAAAAGGGTGTCTTTGAGAAGCACAACTGAGTGTAAGTAACCATTTTGTTGAGGATTTAACTGTTCCAGTTCTGTAAGGACCTGCTGGGTTAACAAGGCTGATTTGTAAAGGCAGTAGATACTTCAGTAATAAAATTGAACTGTTAAAGTTGATTACTGTGACTAGAATTAATCATACTTACATTTTTTATATATCTTATTCAGTTATATTTTTAGCATGTTTGGTAATTTTTAAACTAAGTTATATATATGACACGTCAGGTTAATTTTCTGATTTTAAAAAAAAACCCTCTTGACTAACACCAGAAGTCAGAACATCAAATGTCCCTTTTGTAATGACATTGTATATAGAGCCTTAATTCAAATGCTAAAATTCTTTAACATTTAAAGTTTTATTGTTGTTGTGGTTTGTTTTTTCCTAGGATTCACAATGCACTTAAGGGAATCCCAGATGACAGGGATGGACTCTTTGACACCATTCAGCGCTCGAAGAATCATTATCAGAAAAGAGCTTACCAGTGTATAAAGTGCATGGTAGCTCTCTTCAGCAACTGCCCTGTAGCTTACCAGATCCTTCAGGTGATCCTTTTATTCTGTTTCTTGCTACTTTTTTTCCATTTCTGTGTTTAAAGAAAACTCAAACCCCACCATTATTCAGTTTTTAGTGCCTCAATTAAATTACAACTTTCAGGGACAACTCATTTGAACCTTCTGTATGAGAAGGTCATTATAAGGGATTGAAGGCAATCTGATTAAATTCACACTCATTTGCAGCTGCAATGCAGCTGCAAATCTGCAGACTTCATTTCAAATTTGAAATTTTCTTAGGGAAAAAAAAGGATATTTGGGCCTCCTTTAAACAGCAGCAGATAGGTTGGTGGTCTCTGACAGCTGATGTGTAGGAAAGGAAAAATACTTCTGTTTTCAAGAACAGAGGAAGTAATTATGAATTGTTCATTTTCCATCTGCAGAGCAATGGAGATTTGAAGAGAAAATGGACCTGGGCTGTGGAGTGGCTTGGAGACGAGCTGGAGCGTAGACCATACACTGGCAATCCCCAGTACACCTACAATAATTGGTCTCCACCAATACAGAGCAATGAAACATCAAATGGCTACTTCCTAGAGAGGTCACACAGTGCTAGGATGACTCTTGCAAAGGCTTGTGAGCTCTGCCCAGAGGAGGTAAAGAATTAATTTGACTTTCAATTAAGAAACTGAGTAAAGTGCTTCTGTAAATAATTAACCTTAGCAACAGTCTCCGCTCATTTAAGAGGTAACACATTTCATATGTACTTTATAAGAATGGGTTTATATTTTTATTTTTTAGTTTTTATTACTGTTCCTGTAGACATCTGTCACTTAGAGAATTAGCAGTATAAAATTGAAATTGACCATTTGAAGTAGATTATGATTAATACATTGATAGAGAGACTTTTTATTTAGTACAGTACAAGCTATAGGTGACAGGGTAGGGTGGAATTTTTTTCTGAATGTCTGAAACATGACTCTAGCATGTCTGAAACAATCATTTGCACACAGGATTGGTTTGGGCTAGAATAATTGTAATATGTTTTCAAGAAGTAAATTAAATGGGCTGTTTCAAACTTCAGGAACCAGATGATCCTGATGCCCCAGATGAACATGAGTCTTCTCCACCTGAAGATGCACCACTGTATCCCCATTCACCTGGTTCCCAGTATCAACAGGTAAAAGCTCTGACTCGAACTATTTATTCAGTTTCAGGTTTGCTTTTTTTAGCATTTATGGTGACTTAAATTATAGGTATTTAGCCAGAAGCATGTTATTGTCAAATACCATATTTAGAGGAATAAAGGTGCACCTCCATTTCAGCAGGAGCAGTTTCACCATCAGAGCTTCAGATGAGAATTTTATCAGCTCAGGGATTAATCATCTACAGAAAGAGCAGAGAGATTGATGTAATCACAGCCTAGTGCATACTGAATTTGATTCTGCTGTATTTATTGACATTGATAATATTTTGTGAGCTGCTTTCTTGTTTTCAAATATAAGATCAAGTCTCAAGGCCTGAATTTGGATAAGTGGAAGGCTTTTGGGAAAAAAGCAGATGGCTTTGTGGCCATGGAACTCGTGCTATGAACAGTGATCTCTAAATCTGAAGTACATATAAAATCCAAATCTGGTTTTATGTCAAATGGTTGCTTTGTTAATACTTTCCCGTGGAAAGCCAGATCTGGAAGAAATCATAACCAGGGTCTTCTTATTGAATTGACTAAATTATTGGATCCCTCACTTAGTTGCCATATTTTGTTCCAATTCATTTTGTATATTCCAAATCTGCTAATTTAATTTCCTTTCCTGCCCAAATCCATTTTCCCCTCCATCTTGCTTTCCTTACTTGATGTTCTCAGCAGAGCAGTTGGTAAGTCATGCAGATTTTCCCACTCCTTCCTGAGCTCCCGAGTTCAGACACATTCCGTAACCTCACCATTGCCCTTGTCATGTGTTCACTTTCTTGCAAGAGATAGCATTTCTCACTAACACACACCCAATCCTCATACTCTTGGTTTCTCCACAAACTCTGCAAAACAGTTCATAAATGAGGTGGTTTTGTTTGCCAGAACTGTGTGTGACTTTTTCAGTTGGGGCAGAGCATTTGCAGAAAGCTGCTGGTCTAGATTTCGTGCAGTTCTATAACATTGAAGTTTCCCCCTTAAAAATTAAAGTGTGCTGCATAAACACAGGTTTGCTTTTTTCATCGTTTTAGGGGAAAAAGTCAAGCTGGTTGAATCTGTTAATAAAATCTGTGCACAGTGTAATGTCACAGCACTTAGGCAACCTCTCTTGGTCTCCTTTTTTCCTTTCTTGCTGCTTTTGCTTTGCATGTAATTGTTTGTGATTCAAAAGTTGAGATTACTGTTTCAACTGATCCTTTTATCTTTACAAGTTGAAAGTTTGTTTCCCTTGTGTGTAAATCGGGGAGGTAAGTGAAAGGTGTGAATCAGAGGAATGAAGCAGCTGGGATGTGTGTTCATATTATGTAGGTACATGAGAAGTTGGTGTGCTTGAGGATACTTCCTGGTGGTCTGAGTGGAAAGGGAGAAAGCAGGGAGTCAGGAGACAGCCCACAGGGTTAAATCCCTTTGAAATGTGTGTGCTTTGTTGCAGAATAACCACGTGCATGGACAGCCATATACGGGCCCGGCAGCACATCATATGAACAACCCTCAGCGAACTGGCCAACGAGCACAAGAAAACTACGAAGGCAGTGAAGAAGTTTCCCCGCCTCAGACAAAAGATTAGTGAAATGCACATAATCAATTAACTTGCTCCATCAAGACTGTGCACCCAGGCCTTACAGTCCAACTTTTCTCTGTGTCTGGCTAATATTTAAAACTAGAAAAACTATTCCTAATCAACATGGAGTGGAGAGTCTATTCACTGTCTTATCTGCAGAAAATTGCTGTCAATATATAACCCGCCTGCAGTGGAAAGTGTATAGTGTTTTGTAATAAATGGCCTGATGCTAATGTGTAAATGGCAAAGGTGTATATAGTATATTAATGTTTGACTGTTAATTCTTGAGCAAGAAACATTTTTTTTTGTCTGGATGAGACTCACAGATCTACAAAAACAAAAAAATAATTTCTTGATATATCTGCTGCGCTCTGCAACCAGTGTTGCCTGCCTCATGGCAGTTGGATCAACTCCTTTACGAAAAAGCCTATCCATGTCAACCACAAAAATAGTTTCATGTTAATTCTTTGCCACTGGAGTCGATTTTACTATGAGCAACGTAATGGCTGGTAACCTTTTAATTATTTGGTTGATGTGGAAAATTGGTGATGTAACATTGTTTCTAGATCTTTTTCATTGCCTTTTTCATTCTGGTATTAGGTTAATCACTTTGAAGCTATAGTTATGCTGTAACATTTAGCATGGCTTCACACCAAGTTAGTGTAGCCAATGAGGGGAATAAAAAAAAAAAAAAAAAACAAGCGTGAGAGCAGTTGTCCCAATGTGACAACTGTATTGCTCAGAACTTTTTCTTCTTACACCTAGACTATAAAATGGGGAGGGAAAATGTGACAAACAAGTGGTTTTCAGTTTCACATATGTTCCTCACATCTGATGTTTGACAGTTCTCTCTCTGGGTGGGATAAAGAACACTTAGTTTTCAGTAATAGGAATTTAAAAGATTTAAAACAAATATGCAAAAATTTGCTATGCCAGGATGCCTGGAGCATAATAGACTGTATTTGGTGTGCTTGTTTTGTTTCTTTGGTAGAGCTTATTAGATAAACTTCTAACACTTTCCTTCTACTGCATCCCAGTGAAGTGGAAGTCAACAAAATCACAGAGTACTTGTGAGTGCCACTGCACCAAGTTAACTTGCTGGTTTTCTGCTCGTTCACAGTTCTACTTGAAAGCGAGAATTGTCTTAGCTCTTTATCCATTATACAGAAAATCTTAACATTAGAAGCAGGGTTTAAATATAAAAGAAACTACTGGTTAGTCAAGTACAATTCTGAGGTATCTCTATTCCAGAATAAACATTTGTTTAAAGACTTAAAGAAACGCATCAGTAAATACTGTATTTAAATGAAAATTGGTAACTTGAATGTGTGTAATTTTTTTGGAACCTGTCTAAAAACCAAATACCCCTGCAAAACAGATACAGCCCACCCTATACTATTTAAATATTTTGCTGTTTTATTTTATAGAAATTATTTTGCTGAATTCACAAATAGAATTTGATTTAAGAAGAATGTTTTGTCCTGTGGTGTGTGTTGTTTTTTGGGGTTTTGTTTTTTAATGGACTGCACAGAAAGGTGAATTCTGTGCAGTGGCACTATGCTGAATTCTGGAACAACAGTCACATTGAGATTCTGTGCACAAAAAAAAAAAAAATTGGCCCTCAAGAATAAAATAATCAGGACAATTACACTGTAAAAGTTTCTTAATGTGATTTATCTTGTACTTTTTGTATGTTTTTATATATACATATATATATTTAAGAGCACAAGCTTGATGGTGTTTTTTACAAATGAGTTGATAGAAACAAAGCTGCTTATCAAATTAAAGGTCCGTAGTTTTGAAATGAACAATGGAAAATTCAGTCCAAGTGCATTCTTAGGCATTTAGTGTAACAAGGGAGAGACACAGAAGATTTTTGAATATGCTGTGTAGCAATGATCACTTTTATGCTTCCATGTTTTTCCTAGTGCTCAAGTTAATTCAGATTTTCTTCATAGTTTTTTAGTAATACCATTTTACCTGGATTTAGTAAATTTGGATAACGTGTTCCCATTTATGTTTGGGGATGCTTGTTGGAGGTTTTAACTACAAAAATTCTACCCTGAGTTCTCAAGTTGAAATATTTATTTGGACCAGTAATTGTTAAACAGGCTATCTCAGAGGCGATTATTACGTTTTCTGTACTATATAGGTAAAATATATAATGTGCTAGTTCAGCCTTGCCAAATGTGTTTGCTTTTAATAGTGCAATGATTGTAGAGACATGTCCAACCTGTGACACTTTAAGGCTGTGGCTTTCTCCAGCCATACCCAGCCCTGCCCCAGAACTGGGAATGGCTGCAGTGGCAGTTGTTTTCCAGGCAGCAAACTGAGGATTTTGTGCATCTCTGTGACATGAAGAAGGGTAAACCCATATTGTTTGCTGCAGCTGTTGCTTTTTAAACAGGCAGCTCCAGTGGAAGGTGCAATGTTTTCTTCACTCTGGGCAAAACCATTTTGAATTGTACTTCTTAACACATACTGTACAAGCAAAAAGTTTGATATGCACGTTTCTGTGGCAGCATTTTGGCAGGTGGCTCCAGGCGATGCTCCTGGCGATACCTCGTTGGTGATGGCACACTCTAGAGCAGTACCCCTCAAAGTGCCTAAAGATCTAATTCCCCCATCACTGATTTCAGTCCTGTTTTCTGTTTAGAACAGTTTCTAGGGAATCTCTGGTCTTCCATATAAATGAGCCAATAAATAGTAAAGCAATTCCTGGTGTTCCTGGCGGTGTAACATGGAATACATAGAAACTGAAAATCCATAGGTGATGTTGAGTCAGGGTTAGTGTGTAGTTTGACCTTGGGGGAAATCCATAACCTTACTGAGCAGAATTTCTCCATCTTGTACATTTGGATTGTGGTTGTTTAGTGACTGCATTAAGCTTTTAACACTTGCTGCTGTCAGTGTTAAAAATAGTACAGCCATATATAAAAAGAATTCAGTCACTGTTTGTGTATCAGTAAATGTGCTATGTTTTGGTCACAGAGTTGGTCACCTGCACCTGAGTTACCCCTTTGACAACAAGGAGATGGCTCAGGGTTCTATCAAAGCTTGTTTGTCCTGCAGGACCTGAACTTGTGGGAATGGACAAGCAGAACAGGGCTCTGCTTGATTTGGATTTTTTCACATTATTTTCCCAGCTGACTACAAGCTCTGAAAATTTGAGTTCTCTGTTTTTCAAGCTTGTGTATCTTGCTGAAATCAAGCCAGAAAGAAATTAAATTCCCCCATTGACATTTATTTTTTTCTTTTTCTGAGTGAAACTTTAAGCAACATGAGAGATTTGTGTTATATTTGCTGTTATGCCTTCTCAGCCACTCTGTTGTGCCTAGCTTGTGTGTTTTAGCATATGTATCATGAAAAAGCACTTACGGTTCCAAAACTTCCTGTTTATTTCCTGAGATCCAGGAGAGAATGAGATTAGCCATTCTGCCACAGTTAAAATGGGCAAAAATTGGCTGCTGTAGCAGTTTACTTCATTTTTGGTTTCAATAAATTTTGTCTACCTCTTAAGTCTTTTGCCAGAAATGAATAGGCTGATGAACTGTGTCAGGGCAAAGCGGCTCCATGTTTTTGTTGGCATGAGTTCCAGTTACTGGGCATTACAGGGAAGCTTTCAGTGCAATGAATTTAACTAGAAATGAAGTTAAAGACTTGACTGTATAAATTGGAGGAAGAAGTGGCATATTGGGAAATTTGCAGAGTAACCAATTAAGCATTTAAATATCTTGGTTAAACCTTGTTATCCCACACTCTCAATTCCACATTGGAAGCAAATTCTCTCTCCCTTGGCAAAAGACACACCTTTATTTTTGGGAGGGTGAGATGCTGATGCCAACCTCACATTTCTTAGGACAGGTGTGGGAGTTTCCCATTTGTGGCTCTGCTCCAGCACAGCATAAACAGGACAACAGTGATTTTGGCTCTCTGTCTTCTTACTTTTCATACTCTCCATCATGTTCATGTTACCACTTTCCCACAGCCATGAGGTCTTGGGAATGAAGTCTGCAGCTGCCTTGCCTAGAGCCAGACAGAAGAGGCATTCTGGGAGCAGTAGGAAATGTCTTGCACAAACCACGTGCTGCGCCGAGGTGCTGCAGTGGCAGAAGGCAGAGTGGAAGGATCCCAGCTGCTTCCTCCTGCAGGATTCCTGCTCTCCTTGCAGGTGGTCTAGTGGGGAAGGTGACACCAAACCACTCTTAAGAGCTCAATGAATTTTCTCCTGGCTGGCAGCTGGGCTCAGAGTGAGCTGTATGTGCCCTATGTGCCATTCCAGGGTGTCCCTGTCCCTGCCTTCCAGTGGGGTTGCCATGTCAGCACACTCTTGGCTGACACTTGGCCTCTGATCCAGACTGGGGGAAGGGCTTTAACCCACCCCGAGCACTGTCACTTTTCACACTGGAGAGGTTCTTACCATAAATTTCCTTTTATTTCTAAGGTATAAAAGTCTCCCCTGAGCTGTTTTTAAGTGTGCAGTAGCCATTCCTGTGTCATTTTTTCACAAGAGCAAGTGCACAGCCCCACCCCTGCAGTGCCTGTTAGGGGTAGGCTGTGTCTGGAAGCGTTGACAAGGGATTCCAGCCGTTAAATTCAGACATCCCCATCCTGCACTCTGATTTTCTAATGCAAGTTGTGGTGGATCCATGGATTTCAGCAGCATTTGTGTGGGTTCAGTTGATTTCAGCACTGTAAGAGTGGAAGTTGGTGATATGTTGGGGTCAAGCCAGCTCAGTCAGTGGGTGGCACAGAAGACAGAGCTCTTGTTTGCAGACAAATCAAAACAAGCACAGGGGAACCAGTTTCTGAAGGAGAAAAACACTCCTGAATAAGGGCTAACTTTTAATCAGATTTTTAAATACCCAACTCTGTATTTTTTAGCTTTAGAACTCCTTGAAGCCACTTTTTGATAATAAAACTGACCTACAGGCTGTTTCCTTGGAAGAATTTAATATAGCCTTAAATCATATCAGCACAGTTCTGAAACGACAGGGTCATTGTTCAGTGGTCAAAATAATGTGCAAAAAAATGTCTTCTAGTTTTTAACCATTAGATAACCTTGAGTAATGAAAACAAGAGGAAAAAGGTTCCATGACTTCATCTACAATCTGAGCATAGCAAAACATCCAGTGCAGGAAAACAAGATCATGCCCTTCTCTGTTTCTATAGTATTCAAAATGTCTGATAATGTTAATTTTTGTTCTAATTTGCAACTACTATTCCAGTAAATTGGTGTATTTTGCCCTAAGTGGTGTGAGCTGCACAGTCTGCAGTTGCAGTGATGTCCCCTTTAGTCCACACCAGAGCAAAATGTGTAAATGTTTGGTTTTCCCCCATAAGCTGTTCCCTGATCCACATTTCTGCTGTGGTGTCGTGCTGTTCCTGTTTTCATACAATGCCCAGGGCTGGATGAATGCTTTCCAAGTGTGGTTTCACCTGAGCCATTAAGTGAGCAGTTCTGTTCCTTTGCTGTAGTGATACCTCTGTAGGTGCAGCTTTTAAAGGTATTATTGGCCTTTTTTGTAGCTTTATTTATTGAAATGCTGCTCAGTTCTTGTCCCTCACTCTTAAATTCCTGTCCGTCATTTCTTGTGATTCTGTCTTACAGAGTTTTTCACTCTGGATTGCAAGGATCATTTTTATATTCAATATTTTTGTATTTTCTTGGAATCAAATCCCTTCACTTGCCATGATGATTGTTTACCTCCTGTCTTTACCCACACCTGCTGCCCTGCTGTTTGCTGCTGCAAGGGAAAAACCCAAAAAGCCCCCACGTTTGCCAGGCAGCCTGGAGCCTTTCACAGTGCAGTAGCAGCAGCCACAGCCTTGACCAGGTGGGCTTTGTCACCTCTTAAATCTTCTCATTTATGTGGGATAGGAAAGCTTTGTGCTGCTGATGGCAGTCTGGAATTCTAATAGCTTGTAGCTTATTGATTTTCTTCGGTTGGTTGTTGTTTGGGGTATTTTTTCCCTCCATTTTCTATATTGAACCATTATTCTACAGGTGAATAAAAGCAGTAGGTTTTGCTGGAATCTACTCTGGAAAAGAAGGCGAACTGAAAAGTTGGACACTTAATATACTTGATTGTATTTAAATATCTGGTAGGTGCTTTAAAGTCCTCAGAAGGTCTTCTGGAAGCAAATTCCAAAGCTTAGAAATGTGAAGATGAATTCTTCAGGACTTACTGATACTCACCAATTCTGTCTGCCCTGTGCGTGACTGAGGACAGGTGAAATAGCAGAAATGGGAATATTTTGCTGAAGGGAGAGGTCGTGCTGTGGGAAATCCCTGGGGAGCTGGAGCTGTGCTTTGCCTGGCCCCACGCAGCCCCGTGGCAGCAGCTGCTGAGCCTTTGTGCGGGACCCGTCCTGAACCACAGCGCTCCGGGGCTGTTCCGAGCAGGAACTTCCGATTAAGTAGCATGTAAAGCATTTTCTATTCTTCTTCTTCTTCTCTAAGATCTGTACTAAGTCTAATCCTCTGAGCAAATAAAGGCAGGGATGGGCTGAGCGAGGGCCAAGCTGCTTCTGTGAATACTTTCTACCTCTTGTCGTTCGTTGCCGGGAGCGGCTCCGGCCGTGCGGGAGCTGCCCTGGGCCAGGCCAAGGTGCACAAATTCCTGGTGGGGCTGTTTGCTGGGCAGGCACGGGCATCCCTGCCTCCCTGGGGATAAATGGAATTGTTTGGGGTACCTGTGTGTGCATCCAAGTGAAGGAGCTGGCATTTTGCAGGTGGCACCGTGAGGACTCCCAAGCGCTTCTCCTCAGCCTCTCGTGCTGCCTCCCGTGTGAAGCAGCATCAGATCCTCTCGTAATTAATGTTCAAATTATGCAGCAATCGCAGGGAGGGACTTGGTTTTCCAGCTGTGTTGGTGAGGGTTTAGGAAGGGAGACGTGGGCGTGTGAAAAGCCAGAATTCTGCAGATCAACCCAGGTGTTAATCTAGAGCAAAAAAATGTTACTGATTGCTACTGTGGTTGTGTGTAAGACTGAAATGCTGAAAGAGAACTGTAACCCTCCCACTCCGAGTCTGAGAGAGACCTGGCATTGGCATTCTGAACACTTCTGCAACCTGAACCAAAAACCTGCTGTGGGAATGTAGACTTACCATAGAGCTGTGGAAGAAAACTTCAATCGTGTCACTTCTCTCGGTCTTCAGAGCAGTCAACATGGTTTTGATGTAGGTTTTAGATTATGTATATATAAATCTGATTGAAGTACCAACAGCAAACCATAAATAAAATGTGGACTTAATTGAAGAACGGGCTAGTGGAGGCCTCTTGTGTTGAATTTATTAAAATACAACATAACCAAGTTGCTGGTGGAGGAGACTCGCTGTGATGAAGACAGGGAAATAAAGCTGGAGTTGAGCCAGGTTTGCTGCTGCCTCTGCACCTCCTGTAGCACTCACAGAGTGGTTTGGTGGTGCTGCAGTGGCTGGAGACAAGCTGGGAATGCTCCTGGCATCACCTTCGTGCCTGTGAGGGCCAGAGGCTCTGGGAGCTCTCCAGGGACAGTTCCTGTCACATTGCAGCCGAGAGGAGCTGGTGCAGCTGCTGGGGAGCTGCTGTGACCCCCGTGCCTGCCCCGTGCCCCTTGCTTTGCTCTGCCAGAGCCAGGGCCATCTCCCAGAGGAACGTGAGGTGGGTCCAATGGAGAGCTACTGGAAACCTCTGGATCCCCAAGTTTGCTCTGGAAGATATGCAAATGAAAGTGGAAAACAGTGGCAAATTTCTAGGAATTTGTGGTACTTACATGAAATTTAAAAAAAAAATTTAAAAGGACATTATGGAAGCAGGTGACTCAAAAGGTTCCAGCTTGGCATGAGGAAGAACTTCTTTACAGTGAAGGTGGCAGGAACAGCTGTGGAGTCTCCCTGTTTGGAGACATTCCAGACCCACCTGGATGCACTCCTGTGTCACCTGCTCCAGGTGACCCTGCCTTGGCAGGGGGATGGACCGGGTGATCTCCAGGGGTCCCTCCAACCCTGACACTTCTGTGATTCTGTAACACCTGAGTTTTTCCTTGGTCTGCTCAGTCAATGTCACCCATCTGAGTGCATGTGAGTGTGAATTCTCTGGACATCGACATGGTGGCAAAACTGAGAATTTAGGGTACACTCTGGATGTATCCCAGCAGATCACTGGGGGTGGGGGTAAACTGGGAGAAGAAAGCTTTTGATGAAAACAGCAAAAATGTAAAACAACTCCCACCAATGTTTCTGTTCTCACATTTCTCTCTGAGAATTTGTTAATGCCACAGGACAAAAATAGCCATTTTTTAATTTAACCTCTGTGGAGGTTGTAATGATTTATTGATCACCTGACTCCCTGAAACCTTTTAGAATTTGGGCTCCTGTGGTTTTCACATTAGCTGAAAACACAGCCCGAAGCATTTCCCTTGGATTTGATAGATACTTACCTGGTAACTTCAGCATAAGAGTCAGGATCATTATCTTGCTGCTGGAGCTTGCTTCCCTCTCTTTTTGCAGAAACTCCCTGCATGGGTTTGCTCTGGCCTTTTTTCACCTCACATTGTTTCCTTGCATCTCCCTCTGCAGTTCTGCCCTGCCTGCACCAGTGTGTGGCCGGCTGTGGCTCCTCCAGAGCTGCTCCCCTTTCTGATTTCTCAGGCTGGGCAGTCAGGGTGGGAGTGGTGCTGTGGAAAGCCCCAGGACAGTGACCTCCGGGTGAAGTGACCCTACTGCTCCCACGGGGTGTTGGCAGGGGACAGTGATGCTGATGAGGGTTCTGTTACTGGGGAGGAATTCGTGATACCTGTCCATGTTTAGGTAGCACTTGGTGCTTCTCAACACACCCTTTAAAATGCATAAAGAAAATGGTGTTTGCTCTTTCAGCAGATGGAAATTTGAAGCCCTTATGAAGGAAAGCTTTAGTGCTTCACTGGTATGTATATTTTTATTTTTAAATTTTTTTTCTTTTAGCAAAACAAAGCCATATACTGGAAATAACCTCTGAGAATTCTGCAGGAACACTTAACATCTTTCTTTAAAACACTTTGCTTCATTTCAAGATTTCTGTAACTGTGCTAATCTTTATGTGTGGAGGTTTAATAATATAATAATAATCATGATTAGTATTGTTTTACTAACGAGCATGGCTTTGGTTTTTAAGTTTGACTGTACCTATAGTAGCTCATGTCTTCTGTGCAGTATTAGGGTTGGGAATTGAGATGCTCCTCCATGAAGTGAAGCATCCTGGATATAAACCATATAAGCAAATTGACTGGGTATTCTGTCATGCTGCTAAAACAGTTGGTTTGAGCAGGAGGTTGCTGATTATGATACACAATTAAAGCATAATTACAACACATTACATAATTACTCCCACAGCAGGGGGGTTGGAACTAGATGATCTTCCAGGTCCTTTCAGCCCCAAACCAGCCTATGATTCCATACCGTGAGCAGTGGGGGTAGAAGAAGGGCAAGACCACAGGAGGAGCCTCATTTACATTTGAAAGTGTTTTTGTGTTGGAGCTGCCTCAGTCCGGCCGGGACACCCTCCCAGCTCACGGCCAGGTTTGTTCCTTCCTGTGCTCAGCAGCTCCTGCTCCTCTCAGTGTCCCTGGCTGGACACTCAGATTGATGAAATCAATCTCAGTGTTTGGACACTGGAGACTCAGATTGCAGAAATGATTTCTCTATTTCTGCCCTGCTCACTGAACCTGCTGCTGGTGCTCTGGGACACGGGACAGGGACTGCCTCAACTCCAGCCCATTTTCATTTTGTTCAGTGCTCTCACAGATCCTCCCAGCCTGAAGTTAAGCTTGTTAGGAACTCACCTGTATATTTTTATTGGTATTTAAAAAATTCTTATTGCATTGTTAATTGTCTTAACTTCCCCCGTCATGTAAACTGCTGGAGTTCACCTCTATCCTACAGCTTAAATTAGACATTTGGTTTAGAAAATATATTTCAGTTTATGAAACAGAGGGTTGGAAATTTAACTTGGGGTAGAAACCAATTTTGGATTTAGCTGGAGTCTGCTTGTTTAATCTGTTAATTTGTGTGCTCACAAAAAGGCCTGCAGAGAGAACAAAGGAGAAAAGTTGTGGATTTTTTTTTTTTTTTTTACAAATCAGTTTACTTATTTTTTTCATTAAATGTTGGTTTCTTTACAGCCTTTCATTGTTTATTTGCTTTATCTTACTCCCTCTTCCCTCATGTTTCTTTTCACAGACTTTTAGCCCTGCAGGTGTTGGGGCTGGAGGAGCATTTTGCCCCTTGAGTCTTCTGGTCATTTGCCAGGATCACAGTGGCTTTTTTGTTCCACCTTCATGCTGGTAACAGGAGACTGCACTGGAACAGTAGTTGCAACTGGAGCTTGCTGAAGGAGAAAAGTCTTTGAAATCCTCATGCTACTGTGTGAATTTAGAGACTTCTGGCATTGCATCCTATGTGTTTACATTAAACGTGTTTGGAGCTGCATTAAACTCTGTAATATGGTACTTATTTAGTAATTTGTATTTATTACTCCCTGCTCATGGACTTGGTGCACTGACCCTGTGGCTGTGAACACTGGTGGGCACTGTCAGAGCCTGGAACAGCAGCAGAGGCAGCCAAGGGTCAGTAACCATCTCCCCTTTCCTGAGAAAATATAACCCAAACATGGTTGGAAGCCATGATTTTCTGCGAATCCTTTAATACACATTTTGGTGGAACATGAAGTACTTCAGCTGCTCCTCTGATGGTGTTTGGGAGGAGTGTTACACTGGGAGCCCTGTCAGGAAAGCAGAGGCACCCAAGAGCTTCTGACCTCGTGGCCAGAACAGATGTGAACTTCAGACCTTGATGGGATTGGAGCAATATAAACAAACAAAACTTGCCCTCGTTTTGCTTCTTCTCCCCAGTGGGCTCTGATGCCTTTCTCCACGGTGTGGTTTGGGTTTTTTAAATTGCCTTTCCCTCCCCAGACAAACGTGGCCAGCTCCAGTACTGGATTTGTGGGTGGGTGTAGAAAGCACTTTTCCCACTTCACATTCCACCAGATTCCCATCAATGCAAGTCATTCCCATACATGGAAGTCTGGTCCTGGGCTCAGACCCCTGCAGCACAGCCAGATCAACAGCATCCCTGGCTTTGGGTGTGCCCAGACATGAAGGTGAGCCCCATTTGCTTTCAGATTTTTCCCTGCTAAGGCCAGAAAAGCTGTTAATAAAGCCATTTTGCACCAAACCCCATTACTTTTCTCATTCCCTTACAAAAGCTGGCTTTTCACAGGACAGCTGTTCTTGGAGAACATGGCTTCCCAGTGGACATCAGTGCTACTGCCCACGTGTTACTACAGCACCTTGGAATATCCCATCATGACCAACCTGCAAAGAAGAGATGTTTGAAGCTGCCTGCCTTTCCCAAAAACTGAGGAGTAAAGGGGGCAGTCTGTGTAACACCTCGAATTTTTTGGCACCTTTCATTTGGCTCAAGTTCCAAAAGGAAGCCCAAACCTTGTGAGAGCAGCTGAAATACTTCCCAAGTTTGCAACTTTTAAGTTTCCCCAACTCCAAAAGATAAAAATGGAAAACCATTATGTTAGAGGTTATGAACTCAGGAAACTGAGCATCCTTCCAGCCAGACTCCCAAGTTTAACCACAGGATTGCTTGACTGCTTTGTCAGGCCTCAGCTCCCACGGACCCAGGCCAGCATGAACATCACACCAGAGCACAAGAGCATCCACAGCAGTGTCACCCCAGCCTGCAGGACCAGCTCACAGCCTGCAAGCGCTGGCTGAATCCCTGCTCTCCCAGGCAAGGCAAAAAAACCCCGACACTCCGCTCGCAGCTTCCCGTGCCGAACACGATCCCGTTTTATCCCCACTGCAGCAGCAGACACCACGACCTCCACACGAGCTCTGTTGTACAAATTTATTGTGTGGCCCCCGGGGCGGGAGCTCAGTTCTCCTTCTCCTGCACAGTCTTGGTGCCCCGCAGCCGCCCCGTGCGGCGCGCGGCGATCAGCCCGACCTTGCGTCCCGCGGGAGCGTCCCTGCGGATGGTCGAGGGCTTCCCGATGTGCTGGTGGTTGCCTCCTCCGAAGGGATGCTCCACGGGCTGTGCAGGGGGAAAGCAAGACAGCAATGTAACCACAGAAACTGGTGGTCAACAGAAATCAACAGGTTGAAGGGGACAAAGAAGTAACTATGTCACTTTTCACGTGGTGCAGTCACCATGGAGCGCTGCCAATTCACCCCGTGGCCACACATTTATCTGGGAAGCTTCCCTCCCAGATACATGCCAGGCTCGTCCCAATATCCCACACATCTTTCCTGAACTGCCAGAGGGGACAGGGATGACTCCAGACAGACTCACGTTCATGGCCACACCACGGACGCGTGGCCAGCAGTTCCTCTTGGCCTTGTACTTGTGGTAGGCACGGCCGGCCTTCAGGATGGGCTTGTCAATACGGCCTCCACCAGCCACGATTCCTGCAGGGAACGGCAGGAATGGTGACACCCAAACAGGGCACACACCAGTACCACGGAAAGCCAACACCAACAGTGACATCAGAGCTGAGCTATAGCCTTCTTTCTGATCCAATACACACGGATTGAGCTGTCTTTCTAAAGCACTGCCACTTTTACTGCGACTATTTCCTGAGCAACATTAAGTTTTCCAAGTGAAGTATGAATTGAAAGAGCTCAGGGGACTGTGAAGAACTTTGAGGTCAAATACCAACTTGTTTCATGATTTACTGAGTCAATTTTACTGGAGTAACACACTGGATTATTCGCTTTGGTGTCTT